GCTATGCACAGTCTGTGTGTTAGTAGCTCTATGCCTTTTTAAGAATCTGTTCAGGTTCTAGTTTACATGGGATATTCCCAATTCCTGTCTCTACTTTAGGAGAGAGTCCATAGATCTATTTTGCATGGGCACAAAAGGAGAGGCTCATAATATCTGGATGAGCTAAGTTGTGTGAGGCCTTGGCACTTGCAGAAGGAGATACTATGGTGCTTAAGATGTTTTCCATCCCTGCTGTCCTAATGTTTTTCTCATTCCCCTTTATTCCTGCTCTTCCCTTTGAAAAGTAACCTGTATATTTTTCATTCTTTATTACGCTATCTCAATTACTGTGCTCCTCTGTTCTTCTCCCACTTTGTTATCTAGTTTTGCCTCCCAAAGCTGTGAGGATATATAAGATGTTACAGGATGCTTTGAGGAGGATACAGGATACTGTGAGGAGAGAGTAATGTCAAGAGGGAATGTCTTGAAGCTGGACAATTCAGAAAAGATGGTCATGTTCTCTTTTTGTTCCAGTTGAGCTTTGCTACCCTGCTGACCACAGGTGCTTGATAGATACAATTCTGTAGAGAAGCATTAACTTGTTAGTGTTAGACCATATGTCCTTCTTAACTGATAACTAAATAATCAGGGGTACCAGCCATACATCTCTACCAATAATTAATTAAACAAAGGAGTAAGCCACCAAGCCAGAGGCTATCTGCAGTGTCATAGGTTATATCAATACAATGAAACTATTTTTAATTACCTCCCTGTTTTTAATACACACAGGTAGTCTGCTTATCTGTGCCCTCTGCTCAGGCATTTGTCAAGGAAAATATCACCTTTCCTGGGCCAAAATTGTAGCAGGGGTGATGGTAAGGATCTAAATCTGTTGGATAATATGAGACAAAATTCAGGCCCAATGCCTGAATTTCGGGTAGGGAGGTAGTCAGATTCTCAGATATTTAAGGTGCAGTATGAGGAAGGAGCCCAAGCACTGTTCCTTCATTGGGACCTTACTTTAACATTTGTGATTCAAACCTTGCTGTTGTGTGCAGCTTCTTTGGAGATTACTAGTTCAATTCTTTGCCTCTGGGATATAGTTCATAGAAATGTAGTTTTCCCTGGAATACCATGGAAGGGTGAGAGTTTGCAGGTGTACTGTAAGCAAGAGGCTCAAGGCAACAACAAGCAAGTAAATTTCTAAACATGCAGAATTGCTTAATAAATGCAGCTTTCACTTAATTATCCATTCTTTCACAAGAGGAAAATACTGAACACATGTTGGGTCTGAGCAGTTGGCTGCTGCTGAGCAGCACTCCGCAGCATCAGCCCTGTCTCTCCAACTTCAGCCTGGCACCAGTAGGCTTAGGGTGGGCAAGGTGTTTTGAGGGGACATAACCAGGATGGCTAGATGTGGGATCTCAGCACCTCAGGACTGAGGTGCCGAGTCACCGAGACCACCCTTGGGGGGCTCGGGAGTCCTGGAATGTTGCCAGAAGTGTCTGGTGGCTGGACTTTGACCCTACACAGGAGACGACACCTGTATGAGGATAGGAGGATTTCACCGGGGTGAATGGTGAAGGGATTAGTTAATTAGAGGGTGAGACACAGGGTTTAGGATTTCTGTACAGGGGGGTTTAGAGAAGTAAGATGGAGGAATTGGGGCGTGTCCTGTCCTTCTTCTTCTTCTTCTCCTTCTCCTCCATCTTCTGTGGTGATGGTGGCACTTTGGGATTGGTCATTACTAAAAGTGCACCGGGCAATAAGGGTAAAAGGTATTGGGGAAAAATGATACATATTGTACACGTAACTTTGGGTATAAAGATAGGTGACTGCCCGGAGGGGAGGGGAGTGTGCTCATGGCTGGCTGCTGAGCAGAGCTCTGTCGGGCCGAGAGAAAATCTTTTAGATAAACAATTAATAAACACAGAGACCGAAAGAAGAACTGAAGCCTCTTCTCGTCCTTTGATACGCAGGCTGCCCCAAGGCCACCCCGGGCCTTTCCAGGCCCTCCAAACAGCCAGAAAACCGGACAGCTAGACAAAAGGGATTCCATAATGTATGATGTCTGCTCAGCAGTGAAAGTTAAGACAAAAGAAGTGAGAGGGTGTTTATTATTATGAGGTTTTATAACCTCAGAGCAATCACTCCATGCTCAAGCCTTACTTCCTTGGAAATGGCTCGACATTGCTTTTGGTGGGAAGTTGAGCATAAATCTTCTGTTTTTCTTTGCCTCTGCAAGTGGCCTTTGCTTTTGTTTTATTAAACTGTTTTTGTCTTGGCCCATGGGTTTTTCCCCATCTTGTTTCTACCCTTGGTCCTGCTGAGGGGGGGAGTGAAAAGAGTGGTGTGATTGGGCACCTGACGTCTGTCCAAGGTCAACCCACCTCACCACACTGCTCCAGTACTGGCTCACTTTCTTTTTGGAAGTCCTCACACTCTGTGTACATTTAAGAGAGCAGTGTTCTTCATTGAGGCTACTATGATTTCTTTTATATGAGAAGGACAAAAATGATCCAGTTGCCAAGTTCCTTTTCTTCTGTAAATCATCTGAGCCTCTGTCAGTTGATTTCTTGATGAGGCCCTTATCAGACGATCAGATTTCTGCCAATTGACTTTGTTTCCAAGGCAACCACTCTCTTGACAAGCCAGTTCCCTTCAATAGTAGGTGACTTATTTTTTATAATAGGTTGATCATATTTTAACTGCATTGTTCTTAATAAGGTACTTCTATTTAAATTTCAATCCTAAATGAAAATGTAAAGATAACAAACCAAAAGTCTGTGTAACTAAAATGAAGTTGACAGAGTGGTAAAGACACGTAAAGGGATTTTATAATTTCTCACAGAATTCCTAAATTGTACATATTCCCTAAAGATAAGCCTGCCCATGAACCATTCCAAATTATATAGGTATTCAGTGTATTCATTTTCTGAAAATAATGGAAGTTTGGGTGACTTATGAGGGTGTTTCCCAAAAGCATAGATGGGTCTACTGCTGGTATTCACAGAACAATTTGCTTTCCTACTAATTTAAGTCTCTAAACTGGTGATACTGGTGTTGATACTGGTGTTTAAAAAACAACAGATTCCAGCCCAACTTCTTTTCATGCACAATTGACATGATCTTACTCTGCATCTCACACATGTGGTGTTTCTCTCTGGTAAGTTAACTCATCCTTTGCTTCAGTGGCTTTTTATATGAATTTGCTTTTGCTTCCAACAAAACTCATGGGATTGTCTTTGTTGAGTTACTTGGATTCATCCTGGATTTACATTTTCAGGGAAGAGGCACAGAGAGGATATAGTTACAAAACACTTCCTCTGAGGAAAGCAAATTCTAACATCTGTATTCATATAGGCATGTACCATCATCATGCCTACACACACAATTCTGAAGGTACTGATTTCTGAATGTAGCTATGTTTACTATACGGTGACTGAAGTTTTTCTCTTGCTTATCTAGTATGTTTTCAAGTTGTAGTCTTGATTTCAGAGATGGCTGAAACTTGTAGAAATGTTTCTGAAACTTTTAAAGTTTGAAGGACAAGGCATTCACAGAAATGGAATCAAATTTTTGTTTCTACCAATACATTGAACTGTCTGTAATGTAAGCTCCTTCTTTCTAAGACATGTCAGACAATTTTAGAGAGGCAAACACTTGTCTTTTGTATTTTATAAAGTAGTGCTTCCCCACAGGAGTAGAAATTGCTATATGTGAGTTGAAATAATTTCAAGGTAGTTTGTGTAAGCATTTGGATTTAGGAGCACTTAAATCCTCATACTGTAGAAATAAAGCACTGTTCATTCTTAGCCGTAATGAAGCAACTGGTCCTCTGTGATGTGATTGCTTGGGAAATTTCTCACTGACCACAGTGAGCTATCCAGTCCTTTTTGCAGGGAACTGATCTTGTAAGAGCTTTGTCTTTTATTTTGTCTCCATCTGTTGATAGGATAACTTACGTCTTCTGTCTGGACTGACAGACAGGGTTTAGGCACCAAAACCAGCAAACTACTTAAACAACAGTTTAGTTTTAAGCCTTAGAATAACTAAATGACCTGGTTAAAAAAAAAATGAAATAACATTGCTAGCACACTACTGTCATCTTTAGAATGGAGAGATTAGGTTGTATTGGTACATGAACTTTAAATGGAATAAGAAGTGTTAAATTAAACATACATTGAGAGTAGAAAACATAGATTAAGACTTTCCTCTTTAGTACAGGAGAAAAGATTCCAGTTTGATAGCAGGGAGTCTACACCTTGTATATTTCTTTTAGATCAGTGCTGCTTGAGTGTGTAGCTAGGCAAACTATTTATTTAGAATAAATAAATAAATTTATTATAGATGTAGGTAGTAGTTTCCTCTGTCCAAAGAAAGACTGACCATAAAATCAGCAGGAATTATGGCATTACTTTGTAAAACAATAGAAATGGCAACATACCTGTTGTTGTACTGACAGAACTAGTGATCACTACACAGCAATAATTCACTGGCACCCAGTGAAAAACACCCAGAAATTCTAATATATACTTTAAAGGTTACTCAGGTGTTTGTTTCTTTGAAAGATCTTCTCGTTAAATACTATAAAAGCGATAATCCTGTCAGAAAAAAAAACCCTGTCCTTGTGAATGGATGAACTTACATTTTTAAGGTAATTGAGTTTTATTAATTTAATGAAGCTGATGGTAAAATAGAAATCGTCTCTTTCTGAATTTAGTTTGGTTCATCTTTCATTTTATTGAGCTAGCAGAAGTGCTTCGTTTTTATGTTCCATAATGGTGACCTCTTGTGGTGTGAATATGTCAGTATTTCTGAAGGAGCTTTCTGTGATAAATATGGGCGGAGGTTGTATTTACATGTAACTTTTAATGAACAGCGAACTTACTAACTTAGTAAAATAACATCATCTTTTCCAATTAGTTATTAATATGCACAACTCAATGCATGTGAAAGAGCAAGCATTTTGAGCACAATTTTCTGATAATGCTTTTGTGTGTTCATACTGCATATTTTAGTGATCAGATAGAAGAGCCTGGCAAAAAGTCATCACAGCTGAAGACTTCAGGCCAGAAGAGAAGAGTAACAGGTACAAGGGATTTCATCTCCATTCAAAAAATGTGAAATGAAGTCAAATAGAATTAATGTAATTCTTGTGATTTGCCAGTATTGTTCTTTATTATTGACTGAACAATATTTTTTGGTTTTCTAGATATATTGGATTTTCTTACTGTTCTTAGTGAAGAGAAACAATATTCAAGAGATCTTCACTCTGAATATCTCTTGGTATTTTCTATTTGCTTTTTCCATATCTAGGCTTAAGAATCTGCCAATCCATTAATACCTTATTTGCCCATCAGTTTTTGTAATCTGTCACAGTTGCACAGAAACTAATAAAATTATGCCAGCCTGTATTATCTGAAGAAACAGATTTTGGATTGCTCTGTAGGGATGCATTTTGCTAATTTTACATAACAGACTTTAATAATATTTCCTCATAGCTGGCACATTTCATACATCACAAGTGCGTATTTGAGAGTCTGGTATGGAAACCTGAACTTTCTTGTGCTATTATTGTGCTTTATTACTATTTTTCTGGAAATGAGAAATTCTATTGTTCTAGATCATTCTGGCAAAAGCTGTTCTGTGCTCTGCTCTTATTTCTTTCTGAGGAGCAGAGAGTACTTACCATATCATGCAAGTTAGTACGCTTACAAGCCTTTTAATTTGTTTGTGCTATTTTATTGGTGTTACTGAAAATATAAAGTGTGTTTTTAGGATTGTTGCTTTTTAAGTCTACTTTTTTAACATTATGTAGCTTCCTTAGTTTGTGCCTGCTTCATCTTTTGTCCCACAGTAAAGAAGGGGATGGCACCAGGAATTCTCCATCATTTCTTCTCTACAATGGGATTCTGGGTGGAGTGTTCATTTACAAATTATTTCTATTTTCTGATATGAATTGTGTTTATGCTTTGACATTTTAGAGAGGAGTAGACTGTTTTAATATTGATCTATTCATGGCCACTCAGTATTCAGTGCAAAGGCTAAACATTATAAGTCAGGCAGTACTCAGCTTTTCAAAACTCAGTGTTGCTAAGGCTCTTGTATTTACATGCTAAAAACAGCAACCAATAAATGTAGACTGATTAGTGATTTTTTTTTTTGACCAGAATGCAAAGCAGCAGTTAAGACCTATGAAAAACGGAGACAACAAACTTGAACTTGCTGCATTTTTTTGCCTTCACTATTTTTTCTGTTGAATTGTGGTTTGCTCTATTAGAAAGTTCTGGACAGCTTCTGCAATATTTTAAATGTAGCTAGTACCCTAACTTTTCATCAGCAGCTTAAAAAATCTCCCAGGACTGAGACATGATTTAGTAATGTTGCTTTACTTTAGAGTCGTGTATTGTCTGGTCATTCTCACTTGTTTAGTAAAAGCTGATTATCTTCTTTTTTCTTTAGGTATAAGAGATAATTAAATTTAGATATAAGAGATAAATTATTTAGATATAAGGTATAATTATTTTTTTTAAATTATGCCATTATGACTTTCAGTTTGCTGTATTCTTCTGATGAATATGAGACAAGTGAAGCAGAGCAGTACAAAAAAGCATCTGTTCTTTTCATTCTGAACTGAAAATTAAATGGATTTGGTAAATTTTTTAAAAGTGAGAAGTTTGTCTCTATCTGCAAATGCATGCCCAAAGTTTTCTATTTCTTGACTAATGAATTTAAGTATATGTGTAGTTAAAAAGTCAGTTCCATCTTTCAGTTTAGGAGAGGAAGCTACAGATAGAAAATAAAAGAAATAATTGAGTCAATATGTGGGTTTTGTGGCAGGAAGGAAGTGTGCACACTGCTGTAGTGTTCTTATTTCAGCTGTACTTTTACATTGTCCAGAGCAGAGTTTTCACTTCATTGCAAACACTGCATAGTGTTTTATGAATTATGCTACTCATCAATTTAAATAAGATGGTCAGCTCATTTGATCTTGAAAATAAAAATGCCATGCAAAATAATAAGAATAATAATATTTGCTAATAATATGCACTTATATATAATATGTATATATCAAATATAGTGTATTACTTTTTAATCTTTTGAAATAGGTATATTTGATAGATTAATTGTGTGTAAGATGTAGGTAGACAGTTAATATAGACCAAAAAACTAGTCTTTTGGTTATTTTCTAAAGGGCAAGTTTTTAAAATACGAAGTTTTAAATTGTTTTACTTTTCCAAGTAATGCCAGTACGCAGTCACTCTTTTAAGGTCTGAGATACTGTTCTTGTGATGCAAACCTCTTATTATTGGTGTTCTCAGGTAGTATAGTAGTTTTTGTGTTCCTTCATATTTCTGTTAGGAATTCACATTGTCCTTTAAATGCAAGAGCTAGTAATGAACAACAGGAGACATTTTCAGACAAATCCATGACTTAAAGAAATGTGTATAATCCAGTCTTAATGGCTTTCTTATTTAGTAGAGTTGTGTGGCTTTTATTTCCCTATTTAAAAAACCTCAAAGTAAAAACAAATCAACAAACCAGACCCTGTTTTTATAACAACTTTGCTTGCCTGCAAGATAAAGAGCTTAACCCAATCTTGAACTCCAAACATATGCCTACACGTAAGCAACTGTTAGATCCTTGACATCTTGAGTTTCGCAGAAGCTCTGGCTCTCCATCTGTAGTGGCCCAATGGCCAAGGCCAAAATTTTGTCACTTCACAAAATACTAGGTGGAGGTGTAAAGGATGTTCAGCATGTCAGAATAATTCCCAGTGATACTGCATCCATATGAAAGTGAATCCTTGATTTCATTTTTTAATAAACTGTGTTTTCACCATCTTCCTTGTCCAATCTGAAAACAGATCCATGCTCCCAGTCTTGTTCCCAGAAAAATTCTAGTCCACTGGTTTTCAGGTCTGCCAACTTTTGCCTTCATGTCTGTGATACAATTTTTTTTGGTATTTTCGTTTTGAAGCCAAGTAAAAAAAGGTTAAATATTTTTTAAAACTCCCTTTGTGAAGTAAACAAGGTTTCTGATAATGGAAAGTAGCTTTTCCTGAGTCACGGGGGTATTTGGCTGAGAGTGGCCAAGAACAATGGGAGTTCGTTTTCTTCAAGATTTCTGACATGTTTTTTTGGAGGCAAAATAGCTTTCACATATCTATAGTTTGCTACTCATTTCAGGGGTTGCCGTGTTACAAACTGCTGAATGCAGTGAAGAATAGGAATAAACATACATTTTATAAAAGTTTAGCCATGAAGTCTGCAAAACTAATTGCATGAAGTAGTTAGAATTGCTAACAGGATGTAATAGCTAACAGGACTTTTCCCTGACTGACCAGTCAGTTAATCAAGCTTAGTGTTATGTCATGCATATGTACTAGATAAAATTCTGCAATCCTAGAGGATTGTCTCTAGTATGCATTTTTTTTGAACAAATAATAAGCTGAGAAGTAGTAGGACACTTTGATGTTTAGTAGTCATTACCCTCCAATTCAGTGATCAAATGAACCATTAATGTCGGCAAACAAAATACAGCTTTACAATACAGCTTTACGTATCAAACCACTTATCCATCTAGTTTTGTTTGAAATGTTCGTTTTTGAGAACATGTAAATAGAAAGAAAATCTTTAATTCATAGAATAACCCAGAATATAGCAAAATGTGACATTTTTAGATTTTTTTCTGCCTAATGAATAAATTATTTGTAGTTATTTATTATTGTAGAAAGTGAAACCTTCACTGAATGTGTGCTTTTGTTTTGAATGTATTTTGAAGACTTAAAGGATGAAACAAGAATAAATGAATGGGAAGAGGAAGATTTCTTTTGGCATACAAGGATTCTACCAATTCTACGTGAACTGGAAAAAAGTGGGTAACACTGTTCTGAAAGGATGTGTTTTCTGTACTGTTTCTTGCAGGAAGCATGGGACTCATTTTTGTTTACTACAAAATAATAACAGTAATTGGAGTATGTGGCCTTTTATGCTTCCATATGTTCAGTTACTTCACAGTGTAAAACTGGCCTGGGCAGTCTAGGTGGCCCTGCTTGAGCACAGGGGTTGTACCAGATGACTTTCAGAGGTCATTTCCAACTTCACCCATTCTGTGATCCTGTAAAAAACTCCAGAACTGGTTTAGTGTGAACCTTGTCTGATTAATTACCTTATTTTAGACAACATAGCTCTGCAAGCTTAGCAGTCAGCGTTGAGCTAATAATTTTTAGAATAAGTACTGCACAATTCACTGCTTTAACCATAGACTGTATTGAAGGTCTCAATCCATTTTAAAAAACTAAGGAAATCTTAATGAAAATTTCCACTTTTGAATAAAGTGTTAGATGTGCCAGAAAAGTATGTAATGACTCAGAACACTGAAGCAAAATTGAGTAAATTAAGTATAGTTTGAAAGGTTAAACTCTGGAATCCATTTTGCATTGAAAAAGTTGTTCAGTTGCCTTCTCTAGACACTGTATTTATTTGAATGATAAGAATATAGAAAGTAGATTTGTTTTTACAAGTAATTCTGTTTTATGGGATCTTTAGGAGTGTTTGTGATAGCATGGTACAGATTAGAACTTTTTTTGCATAGTTTTACAGATGTTCATGAGTATGAAACACCTGTACACTGCTAAGTGATTCCCAATATTTGTAATTGTTTAAAAAAAGACAGGATTCTCATTCCCACATCTGTCACTGATGTATAGAAAACAGTGATCAGGAAATTTGAAAACAGCTATGTAACTTCACATTTTCCTTGCTTAATGCCAAGATTGTCAAATATCAGCCACTGAGTTACAGTTCTGCATGGTGAGGTGTTCTTTATTTGTAAGCAAAATAAAATTTAGAGGTAAAATCTAATCATGTCTTTCCCTTGTCATGAATGTAGCTAAGGAAAATCAGTTTTCATGCCCCTTTTCCTCAGTCTTCACTTGATTTAGTTAGTGTATTGGAGTTTTTCTAGCTTTTATAAGAACCTGATTATGGCCTGTTTTATCTAATAATAGATGACATTATCTAATGATACCTTCTCACCAGCTGATTGAATGTAGTACTACATATATATACATTAAGACCTAAGTTTTGCTACTTCTTGAATATTAACACAAATTGTAACTGAATTGCATCATTGCCTCCTGCAACTGTGTGATATATTGCTTTCTTTAGACTGTTTACTGCATAATTCTTATGAATTCCATAATTGAGATGCTTTGAGTGTTTCTGTTGCTAATTTAATATTTTTTAATTTTGTGTACAGTTAATTGCATTGTACCTTTTAGCTAATTCCCTGCACATGAACCTAGGTCACATTTATTTCATATATTAATAGAGAAGCATTTTTCTTCACCTTCCTGATGCAGAAGTATTTGCAGAAGCCGTTCCATGCAAAAACAAATCTGGAGTTAACCTGGAACTTATTTATTGCCTAAATTCTTCTGAATATGATGTGCTTGAGTTGTTTATAATGTGACAAAAAAAAACCTCTTAAAGTCTCTTTTTCTAGAGGAACAAATAATTAATTTTGTTACCTTCTAATACTCAGGAGGTTAAGCTTTAAAATGCCCCATGGGATGAGTGATGAATAATTTTTGTTGTTAATTTTGATGAAATGGAGTGTAAGACTTTTCCGTTTTGGTTCCTTGTCACTCCTGTTTAACAGCTTATTGAAGCAGAGCATTTAGAATCATGCTAAATTTTGTTAAATTTTCTTCATGATGGGAGTAGAAATGGAATAGTCATTGCTGTTCCTTGAGTGTGATGATTGTGACTTGAGAGCCTCCAGGCACTTCTCATCCTGAGAGATCAGTCCTTGAATCTGCCTACAGGGTAGGGGCCTCAGACATGTTTCATCAAAAGTGCTTTGCCTCCTTGAATATGACTTTATTTCAGCTGTGAAGTGCACCCTTATTAAATGCAGAGGTTATACTGCCAGTTCATGTGGATTTACATGGGGCTTTGTAAGTCTCACCTTATGGACAAAGGCAAATGTAAGAAAATCTTTAAAAAATCTAACTGTTCAATTTTAAAAATAGACAAGACTTCTCCTTTTCTCTGTAAAGATATTCGTGATTCCATTGTGTTGAGATGCAGTTTTTGCAATTCTGTTTTATTTTTGTATATTTTAAACAGAGTCTCAGGGACTTGAGTGAGGAACTAGATCAGTTTTTTTTGTCAATAGGACAACATTCCACTCAAATATGTCTTGCACCTCTACATTGAAGAGTTCTAGCAAGTTTTTACATTCACTTTTTTTAATTCCAGCAAGGTTTGACATATAAACTCAGGTATATGGGGAGAAAAATGCTCATTAATGATCCCTTTTACACGTCTAGTGTTTGGTGGAGTGCTTTAAAGAATGTTCTCAGAGACAGAGTTTCCTGGTAGATATTTGGTCAATCTGATTATTAAGCATCAAAGGTGAGTTTGATTTTAGCTGTAGGTATTATTTTGGCTAAATGATTTCTCAGCTTGAGTCTCCTTTTTTTGACAAAGCAGAATAAAATTATTTCTGGGTATCGCATTAGCATGTGAAGACATTTATTTGGTGTCTCATTTTTGTTGTTGTGCAACCTGTTATTTATTTTGTTTCTCTGTGTCTTCATGTATTGAGATGCTCTGGATAAAGTGGCACTGATAATTAGGTTTTTTTTCTCTCCTTTCCTACACCCTTCAAGGAGAAGACAATATAGAACACCTTTGTCTAGCTTGTACCAAGCTCCATCAGGCATTGGGTGATGGAAATATGCTTGGAAAGAGATTTAAAAGAAGAAACATCCTTCTGAAGACGTTATATAAACTTGTAGACATTGATTCAGATCCACTTTCCCTGAAGCTGGCAAAGATTTTTCTGGCTGTAAGTGTTTTGAAATGCTCTTTGGTAAAATGCAAAACTCAAAATCATGAATTACAACTTGCATTTAATTTTTCATTTCATACTTGTAAACTGTGTCTAAACGAACTCTTTCCTAAGTACAGTTTGCTTCCTCAGGGATACTAGTCTGCTGTCCATCTACATCAGCACTTGTAGCTTATTATCTGTAGAGAAGTTACATCTGGGGGAGGAAGGAGGGGCACAAAATAGAATAGTTGGTGCTTGGTGGCAGGAATATTGTATAGGCATGGAAAAGACACAATGTTCTAAACAGGGGTACATGTGCAGGGAGTTAAAAAACCCAATGATTATAAAATGTACACATGGAAATGAGGCTTTGTTTTTGAAAAATATCTTGATCTTGTTCTGAAAATACCAAAGTGGAGGGGCTTTTTTTGAAGGTGAGTGAATGTAAATAATCTTTTGCATTAATATTTCTGGTTAAAACTCTCAATTAAATGTTGTGCTTCAGAACTTCTTTGTTCTGCAAAGCATGTATGGACAGTCACTGGTGGAAGGATGCCCACTAACATTGTATTGTAGGCATGTGGGTAATGTGTGTGTGTGTTGAGGGAGTCGTGTTCTCCTATAAGGCAGTGTAAGTTATGGTATTGAGAAGATACATTTACATACTCAGATACCACAGAGATGTTAAGTGGTACTTATTAAAAAGAAAGGTTCCTTTACAGACATTTTTCTGTGTAATCTTCCAAAAAGCATGAACCTAGAAGAAATTACCCTTGAAGTGTAGAGAAAAGGAAGAGAGATATCATCATATTTTTGCCACCCTTCCTTCCCTTTCACAGTCTCTCATCATAAGATCATGTTTTTTGATAGCTGAGAGTAAATTTCATTATGACAGGTACTGTTGTACTGGAGATCTTTGTTGGTGGGGCCATAGATGCCAAACCACTGATTTCCATACAGAATTACTTTGTAAGTGAATTGTAGAAAAAATCCTGCAAGTTATTGATCTACTACCTGTTTATATTAATACATTAAAAGTTTAAAACTGTTATTTCAAAGCCAACACAGTTTGCTAAATAGAGTTTAAAATACCTGAGTTTCAGGTTATTTCAGTTTCCTTTAATTCTGCATATATCTTCAGTTTGTTTTAATGTATTGTTAGGATTTAAAACTAATTTAATAGTTCTGTGAGAGTACAGGTGTGCCATGGTGTCTGAACTTGTAGAATGTTAGGTGTGATTTGTATGCAGATCTTAGTTGTGATTTTATGTCTTTCAATTTCTTTGCAGATGAAAGTAGATGAAAAAAATCTTGTTAGTATTTGCAAGCTAGCAATTAAAATTTGTAGGAATGAAAACAATTATTTCATCAGTCAAAATGATACATTGTTGGGTATGTATTCTTTCTTATCTTTAAGTTAGATGTTGAAATTCAACAGTTAACGTTGTTTGTCTTTGAAAAAACATTTTCAGAATTAAAAATTCTGAAGAAAGACTAAAAATTGCCTGCCTAGGTCAAACTGATGTTTGGTCTAGTCCAGTATTCTGTGTCTAAGTAGTGATGAGGATGAGGAATGCTGTTTAGGGGGAGCACAGGAGCCTGTGTGTTTTCTGTGATCTGTTTACCCGGCACTACTCCAGCATCCAGAACTTCTCTGTTCTGTTAGGGACATTGGAAGGCGCATCCCTGCCTAATCCCTTTTTAGTTTCTGTGTCTTTTGTTCATTTGTTTGCCTTTTTGGATTTTCTGATTCTGTCTCCCTCTATGATGTCATAGAACAATTTCCAGAAATTCTCTGTGTGCTATTTTAAATCTATACATTTTTCTTTATCCCCCTGCTTGTAGTCTTGCAGGATTTATAAGAGTTTGTACAGTCAGTTGACCTTTCACCTTGAGGATTTTTTAAAAGGCAGTCCTATCACATATCTCTGTCTTCTTCTTTTCAAGATTGAGGCATCTCAGCCTCTTAGCTCTTTGAGCAGATGTTGTGTCATTCACTTGTTTTAGAAGTCCTTCTCTGTACCTTCTCAAACTCCAGTGGATCCTTCTTGAGATTTATGGAACAAAACTATCTATAGAATTCAAGCTGTGTCTGCACCAAATTTATAGAAATGAGATAATGCTGACTGTGGTGTTAGCCATCATCAGAGAGGATCTTGAGAATAGTCATTGGATTTCTTATATTTTTTTGTAGCTGCTGCTTCACATTGAGCCAAAGGTTTTGCAGAGCTGTCAGCAATGGCTCTAAGATCTTTTGTGTTTTTAACAGTGCTTGTGTCATGCACACTCACCCACCCCTTGCAAATATGAGAAATATGAAGAAAGTGAAAGTGTGCAAATGATACTCAGTATTGATTGAAAGTCATTCATTTCGTTAAAACCTTAGTGTGTTTTATCAATGTAGGCCTTGATCTTGCAAGGAGTTATTGCATCTGTATTGGTTAAGGCATGTATGTATATTTGCTTAAATAGTTGAGAGTGTTCATGGTCCCAAAGTTTAGCACACAGTTGTTGTCAGAAATGAAGACATGCCTTTCAGGTGGCAAGGAAAGGACTCACAGGAAACAGAACAGGATTGACTTTGGATACAGAAAAGTACAGTTTTGTAGAGATCAGCATCATACACAGCATTTGAACAAGTCGCATTTTTCTCATTTCCATCCTCATTCACTTTTCTTTCACTTGCTCTTCTTTCCCTATATTTTGAGAACTAGTGAAGGAAAGAGCATTGGTAGGTTTTGTTTTATTTGTTTATTTGCTCTTTATGTTTTGGACCAACCTTGTCCCAGAAGTAGACGTGACCCTGGCCTATCATCACAACTGCCCAGATCCCTGTTACAGTCACTGGGTTATAGATTCAATTTTTTTTTTCCTTTTCTGTCCTTGTGAACTGTTTATGTGCAGTACAGCAGGTCCAGTAGAATAAATAAATTAATCCTTCATCCCAGAATAGACAGCTACTGTTCAAGACCTTGTTTGATACTGTGCAGAGCAGGAACCTGAAACTGAGTTCTCACATTGCCACAACCCAAGTGATGTAATTGGTGAGGGTTCATATGTGTGTATATATATATATATATATACAAACACACCATTTCCTACAGCTTCAGTTTAATGATATAGGAAAATGTTTTTATTCAACTGGAACCAAATAGGAAGCAGAAATAAATAAATAAATATCTCTTTGAATCAGTTATTAGAAGTTTAAAAGTATAATGTTGGTTAGGATTACTCATTTGTTTAAGATACCCACTAAATTCAGAATGTCTCAATTTGATTGCAAAAGATACCTTGGCCATGTGTTGACTGTAAATTTGAGCATTTCAGATGTCTGACAGTGGTTGCACAAAACAAAACTTCTATGTCAACTTTACCTACATAAAAAGTAAATCTAAAAAGACTATGAACAGATTTCAAATGTGAGAGTTGAATTGTGCCTTTTAGTGCTCCGTTTGAGATGCTTTAAGACATTTGATTTTTAATGAAGTAGTGGGAAGTACACAAAATTCCAGGCACACACAATCACTTTTGCAAATCTTGACTGAGAATTTCAATGATTCCTGCTATGTGTTTACAGCTTACATTGGAGAACAAAAGTCGGGCCCATTCCCTCATTCATCAATAATTGTTTCTTGGTTTCAGTCCAAATATCCAATTTTTCTAGCCCACTTATTAGAAATGTAAGAGTTCAGTCTGAGGGTGTTTTCCAGTTGCTAATCTCTTTAATGACTTGATTGTATCAAATATAAATTTTACTATTAGACTTTCTGAATGATGATTTTCCTTTTAGATTATTTGTTGCAGGTTCTGTGTAATGCAGATCTACAAAAAAACCATGAAGCTCTCATCTATTGCATGGCAGCTCTAAAAGTCATGTCTGAAAAGGAAGCACTCCGTTTAAAAATGGTCAGCAAAGGAGCTATTGAAATGTTTCTGGAATTAATGAAGCAGATTAATAACATAAAAGAACATGACACATATTTCTCCAAGCTGGGCCTCTTATTAGTCCAGGTTAGCATTTACTTTTATTTCTAAAAGTATGTACTTCAAGGACAAATTAAAAATTTAATTAGAGGAGATAAGCTTACCCTGTGTGCTACTGACAGAGTTGTACCTATATTTCAATGGACTTATTTTTAAGAAGTTAAATGAAGTTGTTCAGGACCTAATGTAATTACCACAGATGTTTGTGTGTATTCAGTTTTAAAGGCTTTAGAAATTCTGAAGTTAGTAGAAATATTTTTATAAATATTTTTATACCTAATAAACCAGTTTCTCATTACTACTTTATTGTGCTGACAATATTCTGGATACTGTAGTAAACAGATAAAAATATATTCTCTATCTAAATTCTTGAAACTGAAATAATAAATACAAGCTGGTTCTGCAATACTCTAGGAGATTACAAAAATCTTTTTTATTACAAAAACAACTCATTTTATTACAAGAATAATGCATTTTAAAAATGTGTAGGGAAATACAGCTGTGTTTCTTTGACAAAATGTTTTTGAAGAACTGTAATATAAGGAAAAAGTCGTTGCAAAACCAAACACTTTTTGAATCTTTTGAAGGCAGCAGGCTCAAAACTATTTTCAAATACAAAGCACCTTGATAAATGGTGGCTATGAAAACTAATCCTTGTCCCTAAAACTTTTTAAACCCATGTATTTTAGAAACACTGTGGGATGGATATTGTATATACCAAGGATTTGCCAGGTAGATTCCAGGCATTTGTTTGGAAGTTACTGACATAATGTTTAGCAAGTGGTTGAATTGTGAACTTTCAGGTACTTTATAGGAAAATACATTGGATAATTTTCTGAGGTAGCTTTTGCACTGGGTTTGTCAGCTAATTATGCCAAATTTCTTCTTTTTATTCGCTACTTAATTATAAGCACAAGATTTTATACTTCTTGAAATTATATGAGAAAACAGATAGCCTACATCATCACATTACTATTGGTGATTTTGGTCTGATTTTTAAAATCTTAGTAATAAAACTAATCAGTTTATTTCCAGGATTTTGACTATCTGCCTGCTATTCCTTACAACTTTGCAGGAATGTTTTTCTTCCATTATTTGCCTGGAATAAATCTAGGGTTTTTTTAATCAAGGGTTTAGTTTGCAAATATCTAAAAAGAAAGTGTTGTATTTTATGCTTTCTTTAAAAAATCCCTCATATCTCTGCTTTTTTCAGTACAAATGGAAGTATAGCAAAACTCCTTTTGTACTGTTTGAATAGACTGGCTGTTTCTAAGAAGTTCTTGAGTGTTTTGTGGAGAGGTCAGTACTGACAGCTGTCTCTTATTGAGATTGCTCTTTCACTTGTTTGTGTTCTCTTCTATAATAGTACAGATACTTCGGTTTTCTTCCTCTTGGGAGAAAAGTAGTGATTCCTACTTCTATGGAATTCCTGTGTGACTTTCTCATATTGGTTCCTTCAACAAATCCACTACTTCCTTCATGTGAGTTAATTGATCAGTTCATCACAGACAGATGAACGAGCAGTTCTGTTTTAGGGATGGTTGAAGAAAGTTTCTTCTGTGATCCATGTCTTCAGAATAAAGTTTTCATAGCATACTGCGTCTTGTAGCAACAGATCAAATAGGTGATGTACAGAAAGAATGCCTTCAGTGATAGAAAGCAAACTATATTGGAGGAGAAAAACACTTTAAATAGTCACAGTGGTCTCTGAAGGAAGCTCTGCTATCTCTTAACCTTGGTAACTGAAGTATCCCATTTACTTGGGACCAGCTCTTCATTCTTTATAATTGCACAATCACCAGATGGCAGTGTTATACATAATCTTGCTAGATCCTTTTTGTGGGAATAAAGTCCCTATCTGGTTTCTTCGTTCTTCCACTATGCTTTTTTTGTAGAAGTCATACAATACCAGAATAAAAATGTTAGTATTATTTTTTTTCCCTTAATAGAGGGCATGAAATCAGGGTCAACTTTGATTAATTTTATGTTGCTTAACCTAAAAGTCTGTTAATATTTATACAAAATACAGTAATGCTTACTCAAAACCCAAGATTTTTAAAGAGTCACTGTCAAGACTTAATAAGTATTCCCAGTTCCTTACTTGAAAATCACTTAAATGTCTTCTCCTTTAAAAATAGCATTTGTCAGCAGTTAAATTTTCTGTTTGGGTGAATTTGATCTTTCATATGGCAACATAAGGTTTAGGACTGGTGGGGGTTGCTAAAGATATTTGTTATGCATTTCTCCCTGAAACATGGGGTCTGCTTGAAGCAATCACAGGATCTCTAGAATTCAGCTGCTGTCTGGCTAGCTTCTATTATTTTTCAAACTCTTTGAGTTTCAGTTGCTCATTAACTGTGTTTTATGGATATATACTTCTGTGAAGTGCTGAATGCTGTTTTCTTGCACATTTAAGTGTATATGTTATTTTGCATTGCTTTTCCTTTCCAATCTGTCTTTGTCTGAAGGTTGCTCTTGATAGAATTTACTACTTGAGGATTTTGAACCATCTAACTGTATCAAGCATTGAAAAATCTTACTCTCTTTTTGGAGACCTCTGTACCATCATCTATTGAATTTTTTCCTCATTATCCAATATGTAAGTCTCTTTGCTGCAGTGAAAGCTCGTGTCCGCATTTGAACAACACTTTTAATATGTGGCGTATCCTTAATTTCCTTTATTGTGTCAATTGAAGCTTAGCCAGAATTCAAAAAATATCATCCTAGGCTGATTGTGAACATCTTGTATGTAAGCACTTAATGGAGTCACCTGTCTCTATTCCATGTGACAAGAATTTTTCTAACACAACTTTTGAAAAGTAAAGTATTTGATCAGAATATATTTATTAAAATGTATCTCCAGTGTTGTGTTGATTTTTGAAGCATCATGACATGAGAAGGAATATGCATCTGGAAATTTCTTTTGCAGTTGTTGAGTTAAAATAATAAAAAGTCCCAGGTGTCTTCTAAAAATATGAGTGATATGAAGCAAATGGCTTCTGTAGGTTCAGATTCTCTGTATTATGAATACAGTATAAATTGCATTTTTAGTGCTGAAGTTAAATCCATTCACTTACTGCATGACCACGTATTTTTTTCCCTCTGTGCCTTGCTTCTCCATTTTGACATGTTGCACCTCCAGTTGCTCCATTACGGAGCATCATGGGGTTGCTGAAGATTTGTTCTCTGCTGTCAGATTTGTTGAAGTAGGACAGCAAATTTGGAAGCTGCTGGAGAATGGACAGAATATGCCTAGAGTCCTATGTGCAGAAGCTGAAACACAACATCTTAACCTGCTCTTTGTCAAGAGTTTTTCTTTAAAATTAGCAATTACATATCATTGGATAAGCAATCCAATTTAGTGATAAATTGCTTAATTTCCAGAGTTTTTTGTGATAAGAAACAATTTGAACAGATAGTTTTTGTGCCTTATCAAACTCCATTCAAAACCAAATTGAAATTAATAACTTCACTCTGAATAAGAAAACTTTGAAGAATTCCCATATCCGCATAAGATCGAATGACTTCATATTCATTTTGTAGTAAATTCTGGATTAGATCAAAATTAACTTAAATGTCATGGCCTGTCTGACCTTGTCATTTGAATACTCTTGCCTTGGAAGAGAATCAAAATATTTCAAAATATGCAATAGGTGATGCATTTGTTCATCTACCAGAGTTAGATTATGCTTTAAGCTCCTTGAAATAGAACAGTATCATCTGAAAATATTTTGGTTTCTTCAAATAGACCTGAGCACTTAAGGTTTTCATTTTTATTTTGTTAATACAGTGGATTTCTTTTATCATTATTAACTTTAAATTTTTTAATTGGATAAATCTGATTGTGTGTTTGCCGTTTGCAGTTATCATCAAAGTATATATTATATTTTCAAGATTTAAATATAAAGATTTATTGAAGAATTATGCAAAAAATTACTTTAACCATACACAGGGTTTCACCTAATTCCCTTGGTACATGGCTGTATACATGCAAGATCTTAAAGCATGAAAGATCTTGTGTCCCTCATAGAAGGAGGTGACATGCAGGCAAGGACCAGTGTCAGTCTTACATTTTCACTTATCCCAAGCACACCATCTTGCTGCCTGCACGTTTCCTGTGTTATTTATTGTTATACCTAGCTGCAGAATGCTAAGGGGTGCGCAGCCTGCCATAGGTGCTGTAGATGAGATGAGATCTGTGCTGTGCCCGTGGTTAATGAGTGTCCCACCCCCGTGTGCAGCTGACGGCCACTCTGCGCATCCTGGCCAGCTGCGCCCAGGCGCGCCGCCAGCTCAGCCCCAGCGCTGCCGTCCCCCAGCTCTGCGTGGCGCTGGAGCAGCGCAGCGGCGACAAGGACCTGTGCATCTGGATTGTCAGAGTCCTCAGGTACGTGGGAACACAGCTTGGTGCGCTGGCACGTCCCCCTCCCTCCAAGGAGGCAGGACCAAGCGCTGGCATTGGAAGATTTGCGTTGAACTCTTTTAATGACAATATCTTTTAATGATATTGTATGTTAATTGTGTCTCTGTTAATGCTTACAGAATTGTGTAATTGTAGCCGTACAGACTTGGATTCATCATCCCCATGAAAAAATATTTTGTTGTATTATGTCATTGTTTGATCCCACTGATTTTGATTGAGTTTTTTAAAGTGATGTTTCTTGTATTTTAAAGCTGTATAAATTATTAGGTATTTATTAATCCTGGTTTAGGCCACTTTCTCTTTTAATGAGAGATATTACGCAAGGAACTGTGTATTGTGAAATAAAATACACAAGAGGGAAAATGTGACCAGTATTCATTGTTTTGAGCAATTACAGAGTGTTTGAGGAGATTAATCCCTGGGATCAGGGCTTGAGTGTGCAGATGGAAGTGCTGAAAGAATCTCAGTTTTATGAGCAGCCAACGGCTGCTTCCCGAGTTGTGCTTTTTAGAGGGAGATCAGTGTGAGTTAGTCAGCACAAAGATCATTTTGTAGTCTGAATAGTTTCTCAGTCAAAAGTCTTCAGTTACCAAGCATCAGCTTGCAGTATTCAGTGCTAGATGGGCTTGCAAACAATGTAAGGATTTGGAAGAAGTTGTGAAATCAGCTGTTGGTAATTTCAGGAATAATGGGATTATAAGTGCAATTTATGAATGATGTGCTGGATGAAGTATTTGCCATTGCTGCTTTGTTACTGCATTAAGTCATGTTGCCTGTGGCTTTATGTTCAATGAGATTTTATTACAGATTTCTCCTCCTGTTCCGATGCTCCAAATTATGTATCACCTCCTCCTCTCTGGATGAGGTTGAGTAGTGCTTTGAACAGTGACAACATAAGGGGCTGGCACTCCTTCTTCCCCACAGCTGAAACCAGGCAAATCTGCTCCTTTGCTGTTTGTGCTATCTGTAAAGCATGTGAATGGCTTCCCCAGTTCCATGCTGCCTTGTTCACATCTGTCTCTAGTTTTGTTCCTAAAATCAAGGTCTTGCAGTGATTATAGCACTTTGAGCATATTTAGTTCTTCTGAGGAGGGAGCATTTCTTTTACTTGGAAAATGCCATTAAAAGTGGGATAATGAGTTTGTAATAAGGTGTAATTGATACTTACACTGTAATTCTGATAAGGACATTTACTTGGTATAGAATTCAATATGGAGAAAAAATAACTTACCTTACTTAAAATGTCCTGCTGCTTCAATTTTTTTCCTCAAGATTAGAACTACATGATCCAAGAATACAAATTAGCCATAGAAACCAATTTCATTAGCTTCCTGGAAATTGCAGTCACAAGAAAAAATAAATAAATAAATAAATAAATATATATATATACACTATGCAGGAAAGAGTTCAGATTTTAATTTTTTTTTTGTCTTCTAGTAATACAGAATGATTAATGTCTCAATCAACTTTAGGCAACTTCTTCATAGAGAATGTGTTCAATCTATTCAGATTATTCATTCAATAAGACTGTAAATCTTCCTGTAATAAGTTGTAATTGAACATCAACACAGATCTTTTGTGGTTTTGACTACATAAGAAGTAAGATGTTATCCTAGCTTGTTCTGTTATTGCATTTTTATGGTGTAACCAAAGCATGTCCAGTTCCCTGTTGTGGCAAGGGGCAAGGTGAGCAGTGTAGGACTGGAGCAGCTGTTAGGAAATGTGCAGAGATAAGTCCTGCCTGCAAGGAGGCACAGTCTCTGTATTTGCTGGTGACAGATGTGTCTCTTAGCACTGTTGCTGGGCTCTGCTAGATGTGCACTAGGAAAGGACCCCTCGTTTCCTCTCGTCTGACTTCGCACATCATCTTGAAATTCCAATTCTCCCCTTTAGCCCTGAGAAGTGCTGGTGTTAGCATACTGTGCCCATATGGCAAGCAGGTTGGGAAGATCCTTATGTTTGCTTCTTCCAGTAATGCACTGTGCCAAGGATAGCTGGGCTTCTGTTGTGCTCTTGTATAACTGCACATGCCTCTGCTAGAAGTCAGAGTATTGGCATTCACTTCATTTGTTGGAAAATACAGCTCTGAGAATCAAAAGTGACTTTCTAAAAAAGGTTTTGGGGAAAAAATTACTTTTGTTCATTTATTTTTTTTTCTTTACAGCAAACTTTCTACCTACAATGACTTCTGTGCAGCTTTAGCAGACTGCTCCAGATGTTACATTGTATTTTTAGCCCTGCTAAACAAATACCAGAAGCAGCAGGTCAGTTTTTCATCTCTTGATTTTTATATATTAATCCTCTGATGTGTCTATGTATTATTGTGTATAAGCTTGTTTGCAGTGTCCTACTTTTATGCATTTACCAAATAAAAATTTTAAATGGTTGAGAGCATTTCCAAATAGTAGATAATTGTAATGAAATAATTTAGATTAGAAATTCAAAGCAATACAGTGGACAGTTGATTAACTTGTCTATTCATGTGTAGAAACAGTCATTTGAGTACCTAATTTTTTTTCCTAGTTTTAAGAAATATTTTTTAAAGCAAAAATCTATTTGAATATTTCATTGTTGGAAATTGCTGGGCTTCCTCCTGTCCTCCTCAGCTGCAAAAGAAGTGTGACTTTTCTAGAGCTAAGCAATGTGAAAGCAGAGGAAAATATATTCCTTGCTGTCATGTAAAAAGGGGAGATTTACTCAACCCCTTTGTGTTTAATTAGTCTGTCAGAGCCCCAGGAAAGCCATGACCCTTGTGCCCAACCAATCTATCAGTGTCCCATTATGGGACCCTTCACTAAGCAGTCCCACTGGATCTGTTCCACTCATTTATTCAGTGTCACACACCTAGCAGAGGAACCTCCTCTTCCTTTACCCACTCTGGGCAGAGGGCAGTGCCCTTGGAGGACTGCATTAACAGTTTGCAGACTGACACTCTTCATTAATAGAATTGTGAAAGGTTAAGGTTTGAGACTTGCCAGTGATAGTAGCAGACTGCAAAAAACATATTCAAATCAATATACTAATTTAAAACAATGTACTAACAAGCTCTATATAATAATAATAATAATAATAATAATAATAATATAATAATAATAATAATAATAATAATATAATAATAATAATAATACTGGTCTGACACAATCATTCAGCATTGTAGAGATCACATTTCTTACACAGTATGCGTCCCTATGACAGAGAAGACAGATTCAGCTTGTCGACTAATCCCAGACGTTACAGTGGAGTCTTCCCCCATTTCTGTCCATTCTTAACTCATTTTTATACTATTTCTTTATGTTTAGGTGGAACTTGAGTGGCTTTGGTCATACCTCTTAGTCAGTGAGAGGTGGTTGTACTGGGGGTTGGATATCTCAGGATAGTACCCGAGATAACCTTGCGATGGGGACATGCATTAGTCCAAGCAGAATGATTTCACAACAGTTGCTGATTCAAGAGCAGGACATTTTCCTTTATCTCTCTTGGTTTTCAGCTGCTATGGGGCTTATCAACTAGAAGGTACCACTGAGTTCCCTCCTCTGCAAGAGTTTCAACACAGTGCCTGGCCATGATGTCTCCACTCTGCTCCACCCTCTGTTGGGTCCCCCTTAGTGTGTGGGAGGTCAGATATGCTGACCATGTTTCATCCAGGGAGTACAACTGTGTTTTTCCCTGTCATTTCCATACCATTATCTTTTTAACTGTAGTCATCTTCCCATACTCTCTAACTACATAAGATATCAAAATGTATCTCTCCTTTACCAGAGAAAACCACATGCCTGGAATACTGCATTTGGGATGTTCATGTAGAAATAAATGTTTAGACTTTGTCAAAATGCCTTGTATCATGAATTAAAATTCTGAGTATAGTTGCTGCCAACTTTATTAGAACTCCAAGGGTGTTGCTGTATTGTCCTGCTGTATCACAGTGATCTTTCTTACATTTACTGAAGATAAAACTCAGAGCTCGGTGCAGGTTCCCAATCTTACAGATTGATGCATTGGTAAGAGTGGAGTGCCCTGTGTAGGGCAAATTACTCAGCCCTATTGCCAGGTAAGTTTTAAGAAGAAAATAATTTTTATCTGAAGCATAGATGTTCAAATGTGGAACAAGGCTTCAAAACAGAGATTTTAATAATATTAAATTACATTAAGATCCATCTTAAAAGTAAGGAACTTTCTTGGCTGGTCAGCATCTAAACTAGTTTGAGATAATTTAGTTATCCTGCTCAGTTTATCCCAGGGTTAATAATTCTTGGGGATTTATTGGAAGGAGGTCTTTTGGGTTGCTATCATTGAAGGGAGTTAATGAAGGTAGCTGGATTGGCTATACTGAACAATATTCTTTCTCTTGCCAAACACAAAAATAATTTGTTCCTTTCCTGTTTACCAGCATCCCTGTTTTCTATGATAATGCACATGGAAGAGGAACAAAGATTAAGTTGTTTCTCTTCTAAATATCTGCTGTAGCATATCTGATTATTTCTAGGTTCAGACTGCTCTTGCATAGCTTAGTCTTCAGAGACACTTTAGTAAAATACTATGTAAATGCTATGTAAATAACATGAAAAATGTCAAAGGCATTATATTTTCCTAGATTTATAGTTGTTCTTCCTTGTGACCATTGAATTAAAAACTCAACAAATTATGGAACCGAGATTAAGGATCTTTAATTAAGTAAAGCCTTTCTCCTAAACTTAATCTGTCATGTTAAGGGTAGCTTTTCTAGGTTCCTGAGATAATGGCTTTGTGTCATAATGAATTGTAGGTTCATATCTACCTCAAATTGTTATTATTTAGTATTCATAATTTAGCTTCTCTTTTGGCTATTATGTGTTCCTAAAATACATCTTTCTTCACAAGGTTAGCTCTGCATTTTGTGTTAAATTGTCAGTTGTTTTATCAAAATACAAATGAGTAAAGAAGTAGCTTGTGTATTAGGAAAAACCTTAGCTATTACATTGTGTTGATTATATATGCAATGTCTTCAGAATAATTGTCTTACTGCAGTTTTGAAACAAGCATGCAATTGTCAGTTGTCAGCTTAGTGAAGCCCTGCAGAAACAAAAAGAACATAGATAATGTAATGCACCACTTTTTCTGTAGTATGTAATAAACACTTGAGCTGTGTGGAGTGCAAATGTTTTTCCTGAGGTGTAGTTGGCACTGCTAATCTTTTTTTTTTTTAATGTTGACAACTAATGAGTTACAGTATGAGCTGGTGTGTGTTGAAAATAAATGAATTAACAACAGTGTGAGTAAAATTGTCTACTGTGGGAAGAATCAAAGAGAAGGAAAAATCATCATTATAAAAGCATTAAAAATCTTCAGGACTAAAAAGTGATATGTGAGAAAAGGAAGTGTGTGTGTGTGTGTGTGTGTGTGTATGTATGTGTGTTTCTGAGTTTTCAGGTTGCAGATTTTGTGGGATCAGGCTTTTTAGTGGCAGTCATAGCAGTAAGAAACACAGGGGAAGAAATAGAGGAAAACTGGCATTCAGACTTTCTCAAGGGCTGTCATAATTGTGACTTTAAAGCTAATAATTAAGTACTGTGAAAGTAAAAATGGGAGCACTGGAAATAGGCTTAGTGACTTGCACCCACACCGCACACTGAATTCCACAGTTGCAACCCAAATAGTCTCTGTTCTTTGCTCCACACTGCAGTTGTAACTGTTTTCCCTTTTTTTCTCAGCTCATTTTCTCTCTTGGGTGAAGGAGTCAGAAGAAATGGAAGGGTAATGATTCAACTCTATGAGGCAGACTTTTGGGGAAATTGAGTTGGCAAGACTTGGTACCATGTGTTGCAGTCTTAGGTGGGGAATACAGAAGACTGGAAAAGCTGAATCTTCAGGGCAGGACTGGGGAAGTCAATTGGGATTTTATACACATCTGAAGTATGCATTCATGGTTGGCTTTGGATCTTACTTGTGTGGAGTAACAAAAAAAATCCTTGGTGGTTGCTACATGCTGTCAAAACTGTCAGAAGTGTTTGTGTAATTTCTTTGTCTCACAGGATAAGCTTTGAATGATTCTGCTTCTAGTCAGCATTGTAGACTTTTGCCTATCTCAAGAAATCTTCTAGCAGGGTTCTGTTCCACTTCCCCACATCATTATCATCTCTAAGCTTTCCAGATAAACTGCATCAAGAGTGACTTTCTCAGGCTGTGGTTAATGTCACAAGTCACAAGCAGGCCATGCTTTTGGGACAGAGACATTGCCTAATCGGATGGTAGCTTCTGTCAATAAGTCAGGCACTACCTGAGCTTAGGTGGCATTTTGGGGCCCTGCCAGCTTCTGTGTCATGTTTTATCAGTTAGGAGTCTGTTTTCAATCCTAAGAGCACAAACACAGGGTGTGATACTAAAATTTGTATAGGAGCAATCTTATGCCTCTTGTATAGAAAGGTCCCCTTACACCTTGGTGTTCCTTATTTTGAAATTGGGAAGTATTTTTTTAAGAATCTGACATCACTGGATGCAGTAATTGCCTATTCAGCAAAATGATAATTACATTGGATCACATGAGCAGTTCATCCAATCTGCTCTTGATACTCAGCAATGGTGAGATTCAGATGTCTGGAGAACAGTAAAAATGGAGCAGGCTTGTATGATACTTCTGTGTGTACTTACCAAACCCCCAACTCTTTCCAGTTTGGAAACACCCTCAGCCAGCTGTGTATGAAATAAACCTCAACTGACTTCTTTTCTATGAAATTCTACAGTTTCTCTTCTACCCCATATAAACTTTTAATGTCTTACAGATCTATTGATGAGGAGTTGTATAGCAAACAATTCCTTTTGCCTATTTTGAATTTTGCCTTTACTATCTTTATTTGATGCCTTCTGGTTATTGTATTGCAAATGTGGTGAAGCCCACTGTTCATTTCACACCTCCCTTGATTTTCTAAGTGTTTATCCTACTCTCTTCAAGTTACCTCTTTTCCATGCTGAGGAGTCCTTGCTTACATTGCCCTTTCTGATAGACTGTTCCATGCCATGGTGTATCCACGTTGCTTTTCTCATAACATTTTCCAATCCTGATTCCTGTCTCTTTTTTTGAAAGGAGGAAACCAGAACACAGCACTTAAGATGTGGCTATATCGTAGATATATGTGCCTGCATTAATTTATTTCCCAATAATTCCCAATACTTTATTTGCTTTCTTGATCTGTGGTCATTAAACTCTGTCATTAACTCTGAGATTGCTCTGTAGGTAGATATGGTTGGTTTAAAAGCTGTAATTTTATACAGAAAGATATGTTTGCCTTGT